CAACCGTAAAACCAATTAGCAATATGAGAAGTAGTCTAACATCTTATAAACCCATGCAAGATCACTCCTTCCATCAATGTGAGACTCATTTTCAACACACTATATATACTTTTGTACATATAGAATTGAGAAGACAACACAATTCCCATTACAGACTAAAAGTATTATGTATGCACATGCGCATGCCATCGAACGTTATGCTTCTAAAGGTAGAGAAAAAGCTTATTTATAGGGGAATGCTATTTACACTTTCTTTTTTAACTTTCCACATTCTTGTTAATTTTTGTCTATTAATCTTTTTCAATTCATTCGATTCGACGGTAAGAAAATAAGAAAGGTGTGTGAGAAGTAAAAATAGGTGTGTAGATAGCACCAACCTATTTTTACTGTCATTGTCAACGTAAGATAAAACATTCAATTAGTCTTTAAGGTTTTTAGATCCCTCCATGGTGAATCAGCCAGACACTTTAGTATAAACTAGTAACTAGATAATTCAAACAGGATGACTAGATTTGTTTGTACTCGGAAGACTTGGATAATGCAACCAATCATCGCTGCCTTTACACACTGTGAATCTACGGGGACTATTGGTTTTAACATCTAGCAACATGTACTCTTGCTTAAATTTCTCCCTCCCATTTTTGAGTTAAATTTCCTGACAATTAAACGAGACTTTTCATATGCGCATATGTCTCGATGCATTAAACACTACAGGTTTTCGTGCTCAAGCAAAAGTACATGTCTAAAAATAATAAACAAAATAACAAGTGCTACTAGCAGAACGAGGATAACCATAATCTTCTGTCTATTGCCTCATGTACCTGCTTGTAGAGAAGAAACCATCTAATGATCTCATTGGTTGGACGGAGAAAAGGCAACGCCATGTGGTTTACGTGTTAACATATTGAGACCTTTCTTCCCTGTAAAATGATGTCACCAAGCAATTAAAATCTTTTAAGAGGACTACCGACATCATAATCCATCGAGAAGCAGCTATGGCCTATAACATACATTTTTTATGGGAGGAAAGGGTACTTTTAGAATTCATAATCATGTAATACTGAAAATGTTATATCTATCATAAAGTATATAACATATGGCTGAACCAGAAGAAAATCGTGCGTAATCCATTCAACAAGTTATTATTGCCCCAATATTTTGGTTCACACTACAAAAAGCTAGCTTACACTTAATGGGAGACTTCTTTTTGAGGGTGATATAACTGTGCATAAAGTTCTTCATTGACTGTGACAGGCTTTCCATCCGAGCGTACGTCATTCTTGCTTACATAACGCTTTTCCTAGAGCATTTACTTGAACCTATATAGATTTACATAAAAGGAACAAGCTCCATTACCTTTTCCAGTTGGTTGGTGTGAGAGTTTTCTACTGTAAGATTTGATAAGAGATGATCCTGGTGCCTGGTGCCCTGCAATTGAGTTGCATCCAATTAACTGAAACATTAACATGATGACATTTAGATGAACCAAATACGCAGATGTTCTGTGCATTGATGGATTATATACACACTATGTTACTTTCATCTCACTTGTCAAGTATTCAGTTTTACTTCACTTCCTCATCAGTGTTAGAAGAAAAACTTTCGTAGACAGTAAAGGTTACACCGGCTTTGGCATACTCTTAGTGAATCCTTTAGATTGTAACTTTTCATTGACCAAAGAAAAAGATTGTAACTTTTCCATAAAGGAAGTGATTTTCGCATTTCCTTTTCTCCTATACACCGCTTCCTTTTTTTCAGCCTTAAAATTAGATAAATTAAAAGAAAATTAGTGCATAAAAAAAACAAGAAACTAAGAACGTGAAAATCACTACTATTTTAATAATTTCACCAAACTACAGGAGAACTTTCAAAGTTCTTTTGGAAGACCATGCTTTCTCTTTTTTAAAGCAAAACAAATCTGATTAAGCTGCCTAAGATTCGCATCATTAGTCAAATCACTTGGAGAACCCAAACATATTAGGTAAAGATCAATAACAGAAAAATGTGGGAGTCTCTGGGAGACTTATTCTACTTTATGTCATTGGTAACATATTCCGTTAGTTAATTATTCAGTCTAACTTTTTCGCAATCTAAAAGCTTCGTCGCGTATTTAGTGCAGAAATTACTTTAATCATACTCTTAGCCCTTTCGCCTTTTAATACTAGCATTATTACCTCCTCAGTGCCCTTAGTGGAACCGCTATCATGTTCCCTCCAACAACTCTGAATTGTGCACCTTTTGTTTTTCTTCTTCCCTTTTGCCTGTTGCAGTTGACCATACTAGTTCCCGTTTCTATTTTTTTTTTTTTAGTTAAGATGTCAGATTCAAAAGTTCTTGCGGAATTCAGGGTAAGTGCGCTCGGATGGCATTCGGATTAGAAACAAATGATAGATAACTAATAATTGATTCGATTCTTATTTGAGCGCATGTCATTCTTGTTCAACAATAGTCCATATATGTCATCCTGATTAAACAATTCATCTGTTAGGGTTTGAATCGGCCGGTTCATATAACTCACACCGGATAAGACCCTTAACCCACTATCTTGCTAACGCTTCCCTTGAAGTAGTCTTACTATCTGGAAATTTACAAAATCACAGACGTATACCGGATGAACTGGAACCCTAAATCTATTCTAATCAATACCCAAATATGAAATACTTTACATTGTTCATTATAATGATTAAAGTAATGTGAACTACTTTACATTGTTCATTACAGTAATGTGAACTACTTTGCATTGTTCATTATAATCTTTTGAGCTCCCTGTCACTCTCAACCAACATGGAAGTATCAAAAAGAAAAGAGTAATCTTAGATTGAGCAACTTTTTAAACCAAATTTTATAAATCATATAACGTGGTTATTGAAGATTGGATTATTACTTAAGTGTTGATTAACGTGTTTATTTTCTATATGTGACATGTCATATGATTTGCAAATTTGGTCTAAAAAGCTGATCTACCTAACATTATTTTAAAGAAAAATATCATTCAGTTACAATTAGGGCTGAGTTTGGTTTTATTCAAGGTTTTTTTCAGTTCGTTTTTTTTTTGGTTTTTTTTTTTTTTCAATTTTTTTTTTTTTCCTTAACCTAGGAATGGAGAGAAGAAGAAAAAAAAATCTAGAGAATAAGGCTGTCAACATATGTGGGCCTAAAGTTGGGTTTACAAAGTAGACTAATGGTTGACTTGAAATTGGCTTAGAAAATGAAAACCCAACATAAATAAATAAAAAATTAGAATTCCTTACAATTTTTTTTATATCTTTTGGACTAAACATTTGTATCTTTTCGAAATTTGATTAAGGTGTTTTAACCAACAAACACCTCAGCATTTTTAGTTAATTTAAATTACATATCATTATGTATTTTTTGAAAGTAAAATAATGATTAATTTCTGAATGTATCCTCTAAGTTGTTGGATGTGTTTTTTTTTTTCCTTATTTAGTGGGATATTAGTTGTTAACTCTATTATCTCTTTTTCTAATTATATTCTTTCGATCAAAATAAATTGTTTTCTCCTACAAACGTTAAATATTCTCTCTTTTTTTCAAATGGTTTGTTTTTTATGGATTTTTTTTCCAAATCGTTAGTGATCCACAGTAATTTTTTCATATTTTTTTGTCAGACTATTTTTCTTTGCGTTTTTTTGTTACTTATAGTTGTTGACAAACTTTTATTAGGTAAAACATATTATGTATATATTATCGCTGGGTACATTTGAATTTGTAAAAAAATGTTGATTGGTACGTTTATTTGCAGTTTTAATACGTTTGATTTGGTATATATTGTTGATATTGGTACATTATTTTCAGTTTTGGTACGTTCGATTTTGTACACATTATTTATTGGTACATTTATATTGTTGTCAGTCCTATTTTTGGTACGTTTGATTTCGTTGGATTTAAAAATATTTTAAATCGTTTTGAATATATATATATATATATATATATATATATATTAAATCGTAGATAATAGGGTTTTTTTTTAAATCGTTGATAATAGGGTTCTAAACCCTAGATAATCATTGTTAAATTGTAGGAAGTATTGTGAAAGTAAATTGTATTTAACTATGTTTTTTTTACAATTATCTCCAAAGAGGGAGAGAGTAATCAAAATGCTAGATTATAAGGAATTTTGGTGTGAGGTTTTAAGAAATATGGGGCAGTGGCAGGTTATGTAATTTTGGTACCCAAAAAATATTAATTCTAATACATGTGGCACCAAAATTATGAGAAGAAAAGTTTAATCAAATGTCTAAAAGGCATGGATGTTTAGTTTTAAAAATTCAAAATTGAGGCACCTATTTCAAAATGTCCCTAAAAAATATAATTTATATCTCATTTGGTTTAGTTTGTTTTGATTCGGTTTTTGAACCACCAAAATCGAAGGCGAACCATAATTTTTTATTCAGTTTGTGTTTTTTTTTTTTTTTTTTTTTTTTGTTTCCGTTCCATTTTCAATTTCGGTTTGATATTTGTTTTATTTTTTTTATTTTCATTTTTTCGAGTCCACCCCTAGTTATGATATCATTATCCTAGCTAAAACGATTGTTAGTTGCATAAGAACCCATAGACATGCTGTCTAAAGGGAGAAATTTTTCATTGTGACGGGAATACAAGTGATACACCTCATTTTTCATTAGAAGTGGTGGGAAATTTTAGTTTTTAAGTTATTAACTTTTTAGTATACATAACTCACTATTTGTATAGTGATATGCGATGTATCACCTGTATCAGGCACACTAAAAAATCACTCTGAGGGATTATTGGGTAGAGGCTTCCGTTCCCCGTCGTTTGTACACTCAAAGACACATGAAAAATAAATCCGCTACATTTAGGTCCACACAAGCCCATTTTGGTATCGAAATGTCTTGGGTGTAGGTGTCAGGTGACCCAAAAATAAAAGCATCCCAGTCAAACACACCTCGAACAAATCAACATCGAGGCAGCCAAAGAAGGTCACATCCTTCTCTCTCATCGCTCCGTCATCTGCTTCTCTCCAAGCAGAGGAGCAAAAGCACTGTCCAGCTTCCAACAATGGAGGAGCTAGAAAGCGTCAACACCACCAGCCGGACCCAATCGGGCCAACCCGAATCCCAACCCCGAGCCCAGCTCCCCCACTACTGGGGCACCACACCAGAGCAAGAATACTACAATCTCCAGGGCATCAAATCCTCCAAATCCTTCTACGCCTCCCCCAGAGGCCTTAAGCTCTTCACCCGCCAATGGCTCCCCCTCCGCCGTCCACGTGGCATCATCTTCATGGTCCACGGGTACGGCAACGACATCAGCTGGACCTTCCAAGCCACCCCGATCTTCCTCGCCCAAAACGGTTTTGCCTGCTTCGCTCTCGACCTCGAGGGCCACGGTGGCTCCGACGGCCTCCGCGCCTTCGTCCCCGACGTTGGCCTCGTGGTCAACGACTGCCTCTCGTTTATCAATTTGGTCAAACACCAGGACCCCCAATTTCAGGGACTCCCCTGTTTCTTATACGGCGAGTCCATGGGCGGCGCGATTTGCCTCCTCATCCACTTCGCCGCCCCGGAGGCGTTCCAAGGCGCGATCTTGGCTGCCCCCATGTGTAAAATCTCGGATAAAGTAAAACCCAGATGGCCGATTCCGGAAATTCTGACATTCGTGGCGAGATACTTGCCGAGATTGGCGATCGTCCCGACCGCCGACCTGATGCGGAAGTCCGTTAAGGTGGAGGAGAAGAAGATCGTGGCGGATATGAATCCGTCGAGATACCGGGGGAAGCCGAGGCTGGGGACGGTGGTGGAACTGCTGAGAGTGACGCAGTACGTGAGCGAGAGATTGGGGGATGTGAGTCTTCCGTTTATTGTGTTGCACGGCAGCGCGGATGTGGTGACGGACCCGGAGGTGAGCATGGCGTTGTATGCGGCGGCGAAGAGCGAGGATAAGACGTTGAAGATTTATGAGGGGATGATGCATTCGCTGCTGTTTGGCGAGACTGATGAGAATGTGGAGGTTGTGAGGGGAGATATCTTGGGTTGGTTGAATCATCGGTGCGGAGGAGGCGGCGGCGGCGGCGAAAGAGAAGAATGACGTGGGATTATTGCATTAATGCCTAATTGTTACTAATTATTGATTGAAATACTGAATTTATAGGTGAACATGTTTTACTCTCATGATTCTGCGTTTTTTTGTGTATTATTTGTTCTCTATGTTAATTAAGACACGTTCAGAGTTCGATTCTCAAGGTGCTCGGGACTCTCAGGGTACGATTCCCACCCTTTCAAGTGATAATTCCTGCCCTTTCGAGTGAGGGAGAGTAGGATAGTGAGTTAGGACACACGCACTCCGCCTAGTACTCCATTCCCACTCTTTTGAACGGTAGGAAGGGTAAGAAGTACGGGTTTGATACCTTGTAAATGAGGTTTTAGATTCGGCTCACTCAAGTCTCATATTCAACTCACTCAAAGGACGGGTTTGATACCTGATTATTATGCCGTCACTTCGGGTGACCTAGCCCCAAATCAATGCACCTACAATAATCACTGTATCAAAAGACAAAAAAATCCCAAGCCTGATCTCACTTCATCTCACATCTCAAATTGTCATTCACCATCAGCATTAATTAAGATTGATCGCTAAATCAAATTTCTAAGAATATAAACCTTTGGATTAATCATCAAATTTCACCAACACGAAACAAGCAAATTTTACACCCAAACTTCTGTACTCTCTGCGAATTACAAATTAAAGAGACGAATCTTCACAGCTTTCATTGCTTTAGACTACCTACTCCACATCCTATACAACATGATAACGAACAACGAGGACGGGTAAAGAATAGAAATTGTTAAATGAATGATCATGTGATTCTATACAGACTATTAACATAATCTTCCAGTTGATAGCCCCATACGCTACTCCTTTTTAGATCTATTGTCAGATAGTCTTCGAGTATCAATCCCGCTGCTGCCAATGCCAAAAAAAAATAACCTATCGACGATACCTTTCTGTGTGTTAGCAAACCAAAATCTCCTCGAACTATAAAATCTCTCTAATCACATCATAAACAGGTACTTAAGATCCTCTACCGTCAGGCGAGTCTGTCCACCGCCCGTTTTATCCTCTCCAAATGCAGACGCAACCATCTCTCTCTTCTTTTGCTGTGGAAATCAACCGTATGTATCATAGTATCAGAATAGCAATGCACAGATGGTGTTATCAGTCTAACAGCGAGATATACAAGATAATGAAAAGCACTCAACCATTCTTGCTAGTCCCGATCCTGACATGGGAAAGGGATAATATGCCAGAAAGATCCTGACATGGGAAATGGATAATATGCAAGAAAGTTATTGTGACGATGGAAGGTTTCACTAAACAAGAGCCAGCGCATACATACCATCCAACAATGACCGGAATATATATGTAAAAACTGCCCTACAGTGTTTAAAGTGCGAACTTGAACTGAAGTGATTAATTTTTTTATATTTTCAATCCTTTATTGTAGTGATTAAGAAAATTAAACTACAAACAAAAACGAAAACTACAGACGAACTCAAGGACAGTACCTGAAGGGCTAAAATACGATCTTCGACGGTGTCTTTAACAGTCAAACGCAAAACTGTAACAGGACGGGTCTGCCCAATCCGATGAGCTCTATCAATTGCTTGATCTTCTGTGGTAGGATTCCACCAAAGGTCCAAAAGAAGAACATGACAAGCTGCAACCATGTTGAGACCAAGACTAGCTGCTTTCAAAGACATAATCATGACTGTCACCTACAAGAAACAGGGTCAAACTTCAGAACCATCGCAGACAAATGAAAATACCAACTAAAAAATTACCTCAAAGATTTATAAATGAATTCAAGATACCCTATTATTTCCACAAACCTCTGGAAGGGTGTTAAAATCCTTGACAGCTTTATCCCTAGCTGTTACTGACATTGTTCCATCGAGTCTTCTGTACTCAATGGAAGATGTTTTAAGACATGCTTCAAGCAAGTCCAGCATCCTTGTCCACTGTGAAAAGACTATTGCCTTCTCGCTAACTACCTTCTTTGAATTCTTAGAGCCCACCACCACATCCAATTTCTGACTCTTAGGAACGTCCTCAAGTGGTTCAACCACAGAAATATCAGAAGAATTTTCAGAACAGCTGGCATTTCGATCAACCCTGTCCTCTAAGCAACTATTTCCAGAAATGCAACCCTGTGGTTTACACATTGAGCACAGAACCTCAAGAGCAGCCTTAATCTTGGAAGAATTGTACAAGCGATCCTCGTAGACAGTCTCTACAGCATCAAAAACTTCAGAACCAATGCTCTCTGGATTAGTCTGGTCAGAAAGAGAACTGTTCAAAGTGGCTTTTGAAAACACTGCAGAAGCTTGGAGTCGAACTTTGCAATTCGTGTTTGGGCACTGGTTGTCATCACCGGTGAGATGTTCATTAACGCATTGGCTACAGAAGACATGACCACATTCGGAAACAACAGCATCTTCAGGCGGATCCTAAGTAAATAAAAACGGAGGTGTCAGCAGGACATTTCCCCCAAGGAACGGTCTAAATGTTCTATAAAATTTGATCAATATTAACTTTTTAGACCATCCCTAACTTTTTCTAAAAAATCAAAAGATTCCCAACTGTAATCACCACAAAAATTAAGACAAAAAATTTTGTAAAATAAACATAAGTTTTAATTTCTTTAACAGTTATACAAATTTTTCACCTCAAATTGCATTTATAAAGATACGAGAGCAGCATCAGATTTAAAATGCTCAGCATGGAAGGTCCTTCAGAAAAGAAAAGTATGCTCCACAAGAAAGTATATCACAATAACACGGTACCAACTATGTATTTTAATTTGGAAGATCAGTAAATGCCATCCAACCATTTTAAAATACAACTATGAAAGAAAAACAAATGTTGAACACTTACATTACAGATGCCGCATATCGCCAAAGAAGCTTCTAAGCAATTCAGAAGGGATTGTTGCTTATCAAGAGGAAGTTTCTTTGCCTTCTCAACTGAAGATCTCCATAAAGAATTTGAATCATACCGTCTAACAAGAAGAGGGTGATCACAAGCTTGTCGAAGACGCAAAAGCATCAACAAAATGTTAACATAATTTTGTTTGACAGTTCCTGCAGCTGCATATTCCTGACATGTGAAGCAAAGATATTTGAGAAAATGACCAAAGGGAATTAAACATGGATACTGCATGCTCTGAAAAACAAAAACAAAAAAAACCAAAAAAAAAAAAAAAAAGAAGCCAAAAGCATCCTTTCAAGAGGAAAAAAGGGACGTCAGAAAAATAAGAAAGCAAAACTGCTATGAACCCCAATATTAGCTTTGCTCTAAACCATACTTCAAACTGAGCACGTGAATCAGCCTCTAGCCTCGAGTAGAAATCTCGTTCTTCCTTCGAAAACTCCACCCTTTTCAATTCTATGGATTTAGGTGGTAAAGTAATAATAGGTTCTCCATCAAGAAGTGTGCCTACAGCAAGAAACTACCATCAGATGGAGATAATCAATGCTGATTAAATGGATGTCAACAATAAGAATTCCAGTGGAAACAAAATGATGAACACTTGGTTTTAATGTAAAAGCAAGTTCTGAAAGGAAATGCCTGGTGAATTCAATTCACATCACAGAACTTAAGCTTAATAAATAGTAATATATATACCAGCAAATAAGAGTGACTGGTAAGAGACAGTTCACTCGTGGCTAAAATCAACACATAACCAATGAATTTTACAAAGGCACCAAAAAAACAACCAAAGTAAAATTTTCAAACTAAGACTATTTTTATTCAAGGAGACACAATCAATGAGCAGAAACAATATATTTGGTCCCACCTTTTGTGCGGCGTAACATAATTGTCTTCAGGACAGCTTGAAGTTTTCTGTACCCTTTTGTTGGATTCCTATTAATTGGGACCTTAATTGTAGAGATAAATGACTTGTATACAGCATAAGGGTCATATTTGAGAAATCTGAAGTAGCTATAAAGGTCATCAATTGCATTCTGGATAGGAGTGCCTGATAAGCACCACCTACGTTTAGCGCGAAGACCCCAACATGCCCTAGCTACTTGAGTTCTATGATTCTTAATACTCTGAGCCTCATCCAGAACAACCCTAAACCATGCAACCTTAGCAAGAGGGCGAGCAACAGACTCAAGCACAGCATTTTCTAATCCCTTCTTGCCTTTTGAACCTTTATTTGCGGAACTTTGAGGGTATTTCCTTTTCTTACTGGAATGTGGACCATCATACTCGTCTCGGTTTCCTTTCTCCTCATCGTCGTCATCAACAAGAGGTTGCTTAGGAACCTCCATGCTGACAATCGAATATGTTGTGAGGACAACATCATGCTTAGCCAGCTCCAAAGGATCCCTTGTCCGGTTGCTTCCATGGTAAACTAGCACCGAGAGATTAGCTTTTTCAGTTACCTTATTCTGCAACTCCTCGGCCCATTGCCGGAGGACACTAGTGGGACAAACAACAAGTGTTCCAGCAGCGGGCCTTCCCTTTGCTTGTATCAGAGGTTTTATGCTCTCGTTTGGGGTTCCATTTGAAATAACTTCATGGGCATCAGTATGTTGCTTCCTTCCACCAATCTCAAAATGCATATCATTATCATTGTCCAAATCCAGAGTTTCCAGCTTTTGGTTTTTTACATCTTGACAAGCTCCATATGAAGGCCTTTCCTTAAGTATAAGTGCAATTGTCGATATTGTCTTTCCCAATCCCTGAAAAATGAAGATCACATATACATAATTATATTAGGCACAAGTACTTGAAAGATGGAAGTGGTGATAGCTAATCAATACTGAATAGTATAAACCTGATCATCGGCAAGAATTCCTCCAGAACAGTGCAAACTAGCTGTCTCTTTCTGAACCATCCATGACAATGCAATTCTCTGCCCACGACATGAATTAAATTAGATGGACCCTTTTCCGTGCATTCACCACAGACACACATATATGCAAAGCAGGTGTCCAAAACAATTAGTCACTGGTTCAAATAAAACTAGACTAGGCACAATGCAGTGGACTCCTTGGAAGGAAAGAAAAACAAAACAAAACAAAACTGACAACTATTCCAAATAACGAGTTGCTTATGACTTTTTAGCAAAAATAAAAACAAATCATAACATTTAACTGGTATGCCAAAACACTTAACTAGCAGCTGAAATAATCCAACTTCTAATTTAAGCTAGAAGATTTTGATTCCGTA